TGTTTGAACAAACATAACAGGCTAATTTTTAAGTTGATAATTTTGTATGGCCCTCAAATGATGCTATAAATATTCAAATGGCCCTTGGCAGAAAAAAGGTTCCTCATTCCTGATCTAGATGAATATGAGAAGTTAAATTATAAGGTTGTACATTAGGAGAGGGATTGTGCTTGTGGGACACTTTTGGTGATCTATTTTTGGCACAAGCAACTTAATCTTCCAGGGATATTTCAAATAGCTCTCAGAAGTGAAGGCAAAAATAAATGTGAAATTCCCTATTCCTGTTGCTGACTGTCGGGTCATGGTTTTAAAAATGAGTCTTTTTCAGGTTAATCTACTGAAGCTGGAAGACTTTTATTCCTCCAGTTTTATGCTCACTTAAATTTTATTCCTTTTAAAGTACTTTCAATATTCTTACTAGAGGGAATAAATCAAAAGTTATTACCAAAGCATTTTTTCCAGAGTTAAATTATATATTTTTTATATTAAGGTAAAATGAAACCAAAAGAAAGAACATCAATTTGATTGGCTATATGGTTCAATATTTTATTAGTATTACTCAAAACATAAAATCATATTTCCATTTGAGAACTAAATCTTTCATCTTGCAACCTACAGAATCTGGAAACCATCCCTCAATCTTGGCTGAGCATACCATATTATAGAGAAAACTCCTGGAAGCCACATAAACAAGATCAGTTGCTACTATTTCTACAGCTATTAATACTACATAAACCCCTGGGGACATAGATGCTGTGTCGGCCCTATAACCAAGTTTACATTTTAATATCCATGTGGGAGATTTGAGATCTTGAATCACTGCAAGGTGAAGATTTGGAATTGAGATTCTCACAAAAAGCTCTGAGACTCCTAAGAAAATGATAGCCTCAGTGAAAATGTAGATAAAATAAAATAAACTAGTAAACCAACACAGAGTAATGACAAGGAAGAATGTTTGGTGTCAGCCAGGTGGAGAGGGACTGTACCATCCTGAAAAATAATATCCACACAGAATGTCTTCTCACTTTGTGGGTATAAAAGGACATCTAGGCTCTAGCCAATGTGGCTTAGTTGATAGAGTGTCATCCCATACACTAAAAGGTGGTCAGATCAATTCCTGGTCGGGGCACATGCCCAGGTTGTGGGTTCGGTCCCTGGTTGGGATGCATACGAGAAGCACACCAATGTTTATTCCTCTTCTTCCTCCTTTCTCCACCCCTTCCTCTCATTAAAATCAATAATAAAAATTTCAACATTTACATTTTATTAAAAAAAAGAGAAAGAGGAAAAAATGAGATTTAAGACATTAAACTCAGATTAAGTTCCAAAATACGTGGTAAGTAAAGTAAACACAAACTTGCTTTGAGAAGCTTTGCCTCAATCTATATCCAGGAAAATTTACAAATGATGAATTAAATAAATTTATAAAATATAGAAACAATGTACTGTGAGCAAGAGCCAGAAGATAAAATGGAAAGATTACAAATCTCTGGCAAAAGAATTTCAAATAATAGTTTTATATCAAACATAATAAAAAATAAATTACCATTTAAAAAGTGTAAAAATTCATGTTATACTACATACATTCAGGAAATTGTATAAAATGAATTCCTAGGAGACAACCAAGATGGTGGCATTTTGTAAACACCTGTACTTGCCGCCTCTCCCAACCACATCAAAACTACAACTAAAAGACAAAACAAATATCATCCACGGGAAAGCTGGCTGAGTGGAAGTTTTACAACTAGAAGGAAAAAAACTGCACTGAGACTGGCAGGAGATGCAGAGGCGCACGCTAAACGGGCTGGCAACCGGGTGCGTTGTTTTTTTTCAATCGGGAGGGAGCTACAAGCTCCCAATTGTTCTGAATTCCAGTTCCGGGAGAGACTCTGGGGACCCAGACTCATATGGGGAGAAACTGGATTATCTGGCATCGGGCCAGAATGCGAGGACGGCTTTCTTGCAGAGGTGCTCAGAGTGGTCACTGTTCCTGCATGGGGCCCCGGGACACAGAGACCCAGGGATCATTCCAGGGCAGGGCTGACTGGCAGCCACTGCTGTTTGCTCTGCCCTGGTGATACCTTAAGACCCCGCCCCATCCAATTTACAAACCCACACACACTGATCAATGATGTTTGATGTTTCTGTCTCTCTCCCTTTCCCTTCCTCTCTGAAATGAATACAAATATTTTTTAAAAAAACTATCATCAACAAATTAACAAACGAGAAGTGCTGGGGAGGATGTGGAGAAAAAGGAACCCTCATGCACTGTTGGTAGGAATGCAGACTGGTGCAGCCACTGGGAAAGACATTGTGGAGTTTCCTCAAAAAGTTAAAAATGGAACTCCCGTTTGATCCAGTGATCCCACTTCTAGGACTATATCCCAAGAAACCAGAAACACCAATCAGAAAGGATATATGCACCCCTATGTTCATAGCAGCACACTTTACAATAGCTAAGATTTGGAAACAGCCTAAGTGCCCATCAGCAGATGAGTAGACCAGAAAACTGTAGTACATCTACACAATGGAATACTACACTGCCATAAAGAAGGAACTTTTACCATTTGCAACAGCATGGATGGACCTGTAGAGCATTATACTAAGCAAAATAAGCCAGTTGAAGAAAGATAAATATTACATGATTTCACTCATATGTGGGATATAATGATCAACATAAACTGATAAACAAAAATAGATCCAGAGACAAGGGGTTGGGGGGAGGGGTGGTTAGGGAGCAACCATAGGACTTGTATGCATGCATATTAGCATAACCAATGGACATGGACACTGGGCCTGTGGGGGCTTGCCCTCAGGGGTGGGCAGGGAGGGGGTGTCAATTGGGGGCAAAAGGAGACATATGTAATACTTCAAACAATAAAAAAAAAAGAATATTACAATTTCACGTGGACATAGCTAAAAGAATAATTTAAAATTTTCATTGTTAATTTTTGTGGCATAACATTCAAAATATTTGTACAGAAATGTGAGAGTCAGGAATGTTTCTGGTAGCTTCATAATTTAAAAAATGCTAGAGTTACATGGGTTCTTAAGGTTCATTTACTTTGGGTTTTGAGCAGTATAAGATACAAAAGGAAATCAAACAATTTCCATTTCCTTTAAAAACATTTATAGGTATAAAAAAAAATCATGAAAATAGAAAAATGCCAAGACATGTTATTTTCTGATATCACTAACCTCTACCTAATCCCTAACCAAGCAAAAGACAAATTCTTTTCTAGCTATACTTTGATTTATACTGAAGAATCTATTTATCCTCTCACTAAGGTATTGGTAACTTACACTACTAATTCCAAGAGTATTTACATTTCAAAAAATGTACTATAGTATGAAGTTTACTTGACCCAAAAATCTGTCCATTTATCCATGAACACTGCCTTGGAACATCCAGCCATTAAATGGACAAACTGGTTATAAGAAGAATGACTGTTTGGAAGTATGACTTTGGTACAGTCTTGCTTTACACTTAGTTCAGTTCTGAAATATGGCTTTTATCTTTAACTTGAATTCCATGTGACTATTTTGTTTTTCTTATGTTCATTTAAAATTTGTTCTTACTAGCCTTCTCCAGTTTGTGGAACTACCACATCAGTTATTGAATGACAACTCACAGGTAGGTGTATGAAAACAATGAAGGGTCAAACAAATCAGTTCTCCAACAAACGAGTTATCTTTGGGGGGCCATTCACCTAAAACCATACCAAAACCAACACTGTTTCTTCAGAGTGACTGACAAAAAAATCCCACTACTAGGTAAAATAGTTCCTGAGATAGTGATGGCAGTATGACTACTGATGCTAATGGAAGACAGTCTGTTGAGGAAACAGATGATTTACAAACATTGATGATGTTTCTCAGTGTCCTGCCTTGCATTGTTTACTTTTCTGCTCTGGTTTACTGTATTCAACTAGATGTCTACTGTTAGAAACCAGAAACTTTCCGCAGACATTCATAAGGAAATTGGCCTCAAAAACTGAGCTGGATGGGAAAGTTACATCTTAAAAGTAGGGGTCAGGTTTTTGACTTGTCAAGTTTCCCTACCAGAGAGGGGAAAACAGACAATACTGGGGATGTTGATGACTAAAACCTCCTTAGTGCATATCTAAGGAGCACTCATTGTCAAATTGTATAACTTAATTTGACAGTTATAGAGAAAGCAAATTACACAGTGTAGGGCAACATTGCAGAACATGGGCTATGTTGACTTGTTAAAAGCCATATTCTATGTGCTAATAACTTGAGTAGTTGATAAGTCTCAGATAACTTTTGATCAAAATTATAAAAACCCAAATGATTAGTTCCTAAGATCCTAGGTTATGGTCTATTAAAAAGAAATAATCTTGAATTGGCAAGATCACAATTCACTGATAATATTAATGACAAAATAATGATAATCACAGGAGAAAATAAAACTTTTAAAAGGAAATATGGAAGGGCATTAAACTTATCTGCAAGTCAATCAAAGAGAGCATTTTTATTTTTTAGAACTAGTCATAAACTTCTAATGTTCTGGTAGCTATTTTCCCAAATCCAGGATTAAAGAGGTCTTGCGTAAAGGAGTTCCTTTAAGTTTTGGATGGACTAAGTTTTAAAATTCTGAGGAGACGGGATCAGGGACTACAGGCCATGCAAATTTTAATTGGTTTCCAGCCCAATGCAACAAAATTAACCACTGAGGAACTGATTCATATAAACAAGGCAAAAAAATAAAAACAAGAAACACATGTACGATGAGTGACATATACCTTGGAGGCATTTTGTATATTTGAAATTTCATTTGCATTTTTATACAATGGAGCAAGCAACTCTTGTGCAGGCTGCACTAAAACATAAATACACCATTGAAGAAATCAGACTAGCAATTTCAGCATTCATTTGATGTTTCTGGAAGTCAAGGAAAGTAGCCAATTAAAAAATAACTCAAATACTGCTTCTTTTTTATGTTCAGCAAGCATATAATTAATGGCAGAATAGCTTACCTGGGGCAGGGCTCTTTCTTGAACTTAAGTTCTGAGATTCCAGAATCTCTTCTGTTTGCCCATCTGCTTCTAGCTCTGTTTTGTTCTGAATCTCTTTCACATCTTCACTAAAACAAGTTCTTATGCTCTCATCCTCTTCTAAGACTCTGTGGACTGCAGTGGGAGCACTAGCAGCACTAACATCAGTGGCAGCAGCAGGAACAATGACTGGTGTGGGAGGAGAAGCAGGAGGAGTTGGAGGAGATGGAGAAAAGGAAGGAATTGTAGAAGGGGTGATGGGAGCTGAAACACATTCCACTTTCATTTCTTCTGGGGGATTTTCCAGAATTTCCAATTCAAGAGTCAATGGCAACACCTCCTGTTTTACTAATTCCACAATGCTCTCCATGGCTGGTAATTTTTCATTAACTCCATTCATTTCATTAATTAGGGTAGTACTAGAAATCAGTGGAATATCATTGGGAGCTACACTACAAGACTTCTTGCATATGTCATCATCAATTACATCAGTTTGTGAAGGGCCTGATGTTTCTGTGCAAGATGTGGGGTTGGGTACAGGAAGCGTGTCTTCTTTTGAGGAGAGGTCGCATCTGTCATCTAGAGCAGTGGTGAACACTGGCTGGCTACTAAGAGCAGCAGAAGTAGGGGAAGCAATTGAACTTCGAGCAATTGGAGAAACAGCAGTTGGTGACGGAGGCAGAGGAAGCTCTGGTAAGGACACTGCTGCAGTAGTCTCACACATCGGGCCCAGTTGTTCTTTCTTTTCCCCACTAAGGACTAGCCTAAGCACTGGGGAAGGAGACTTTAACACTGGATCTGGTTTTGGCTTCTCCTCTGGAGAAAGAAACAAAAAAACAGTTTTAAGAATAATTCTTGGATCAGAGATTATACTGCATTATTTGGGGCCGATTCTTTTCATTTCTTACCCTAAATCATGGGTAGCAGAAGAGAGACTAAAGTATTAGACATCTATCACTTCAAAAACATTGTCATTTTTTTCCTAGTTACATTTACTATTACATATAGAGTTTATTTTGGAGAAGGAGAAAGAATCAATTTATCAAATGATTATGTCAAGATTATAAAGAAAAAGCTCATCAAAATTGAAGCTAAATAAATTATTCTTGGAATGGGAGAGGGTCTTTTCCTTAAGGTAGCAATGCCTTCCATCACCACTATCTTGTTCCCTGTAGAAATTCTATCAAGGATATGCCATAGTGGCAGGACAGTTCAAGGGCAAAAAGAGTTTAAATTATTATAAACTGGCTAGAGGCCAGTGTACAGATTCATGCACCGGTGGGGTCCTTTGACCTAGCCTGCAGGGATCCGGCCGAAACATTCCCGAAGGGTCCCAGATTGCAAGAGGGCGGTTTTCCAGTGACACAACCCAGAATCGGGCTCCCTACTCTCTGGTTCTGGTTCATCACCTGAGAACTGCCACTGCCAAGTGACCTCAGCTCAGCAGCTCCTGTTTGAGCATCTGCCCCCTGGTGGTCAGTGCACATCAAAGCGTAGGCTTTTATAAGTAGTTTTATTCTATTTATTTCTACACTTTGGGGAATTTTTATAAGGAACATGTATTACTTGTTTATTTATTATCAATGAAATTTATTATCTAACAGCAAAATAAAGTTCCTGAACATAAAAATTCATTTATAAATTAATTTCACTTTCACTTTTCAAAAGTTAAAGGCATAAAATTGAAAATTTATCTTGTGCCTTCATATAGAGTTAATATGCAGATAATCAAGTCTAATAAAAAAGAACACTTAACATATATGTCTGAAACATTTTAGTATAATATGTAAAATGCATGTCCCTGTACAGACACAGAAAGAATAGCAAGAGCAAGAGAGAAATAAATAACTATAATAAAGGTACCAGAAAATGTAAGAAACTCTAATTCATGAGAATTTCCATATTTTAAAATTCTAGATAAGCTGATAATATGATTCATCCTTATGGGAATGAAACCCGAAGGAGATTAAGATTTTTTCTAACCTTGTGCTTCCTTAGCACAATAAACAGGCTCCAGTAGAAAAGCAGATATTCATGAGTATGTTTATCAAATGCAAACAAAAATTTTAAGCCCTCTAAAAAACAATCTATACTGAAAAGGACTTTACTTTCTATGTCAGAAATCTTTGGGTATCAATGAAAATGAGTCTTGACAATAAATTGTGGTGAACCAAGTCTGTCAAAGAAAACACACTCTGTTACTCAGATAAACAGACAGTAAATATTACCAGTGGATTGTTAAAGGCTAGTTTGTTCACTGCAACTACTTTTTCTGAACTTAAAATTCACTTTAATTTATGGGCATAAAGGTCAGTGCTTTGTAAATTGAACTCTTCCTGTTTATTGTAATGGAGAAAAGATCAACAGGCTCTCACTGCCAATCCCTCAGATTTAAGTTGCCAGAGAAAGAGACAAAAATATTTCAAAGAAATATGTGTCACATATATAACAAATAAACTTTTATTAACAGATCTCTGATGAAAATAATTTCCAATTCAATGGAGTAATTGTTAATGAATGGGTCAAACATCCAGATTACAGGATAACATTGTGAAAGCACATCACAATAACACTCTTTATACATAGGTAGATGCAGTAAATTAAATAGTGGAAAATGATCATTCTCACATTAACAATATAACAAGAGTATGTCAATTCAATTACTAATTTTAGAAAATAAAATGTGTGACACTAAAAATAAACAAAAGGAGACCTCGGACTGAAACTTCTATATCTCCCTGAGAAAAATATAGCATTAATGAAACAACTTAGAAACAAAAAGTTATTTTGAGAGCTCCTTATTCTGAAACAAAAAGTCCTTTAACTCATTCTTTAAAACCTTGGTGGGGCTCAGCTGAGTAGAGTATCTTCCCCATATGCCAAAGTTGTGAGTTCGATCCCAGGTCAGGGCACATACAAGGGTCAACCAATGAATGCATAAATAAGTGCAACAATGAATCAATGTTTCTCTCTCTCTCCCTCTCTCTTCTCCTTCCTCTCTCTTTCTCAGGTCAATTGGTAAATTAAAAAGCAAAAACAAAACCAAAAGGCCACACCACAAAAACAGCCTTTAATATTGAAAGCTGAAAAGTATAATACAGTACAGCTATATAAAGAACATAGATTTTATTATTAAGATAATGCTTTGCAGAGCCAAGATTACTTGAAATCTAATACACTGCATTAGAAATGTTTATAACATTTGCCCATCTTTAGAACTTGTGGGAATTCCATTTTTAAGAATTTTTAAAAAAATGATCATGTAAGAGTGAAAAGAGGCAGAGATTCGGAATATTTAAGGCAACAGTACAATAGCAAGAAGAGGAGAAATAGACTGTGTAACAATGAGGGATTTATAAAGAAATGATGGTCTGGGCATATCATGGTATATTATGTAATAAATTAAAATAGGCTTTTAAAAAGGCATTTAATAATATGTTAAGTTTGTAACAAAAGATTTGTGTGTGTTTTTTTAAAGCATGGCACAAAACTGAATGTAGAGCATAAGTCTAATTTGGTAACAAGTCTATTTTGGTAACAAAAAATATATAGATAGCCCTGGCTGGTGTTTTCCAATGGTTAGAGCATCGGCCCTAGCACTGAAGGGTCACAGGTTTGATTCCTGGTCAAGAGCATGTACATGGGTTGTAGTTTGAGTGGAAGGAGGTGCATGCAGGAGGCAATCAATCGATGAGTCTCTCCCATTCATGTTTCTCTCTCTTTCACCCTCCTTCTTTCCTCACCTCCCACTCTTAAAAAACAAAACAAAACAAACAAACAAACAAAACAATGAAAAGAATATCCTCAAGTGAGGATAAACAAAAACAAAACAAAATAAATAAATCAATAAATAATATGTAATAATACCCTGGCTGGGTGGCTCAGATGGCTGGAGCATCATCCTGTGCACCAAAAGGTTGTGGGTTAGATTCCAGCCAGGGCACATACCTAAGGCTGCGGGTTTGAACCCGGTTGGGGCATATACGGGAAGCAATTGATGGATGTTTTCCTCTCTCCCTATCCTCTCTCTATAAAATCAATAAAATATCTTTGGGTGAGGATAAAAACAAACAAACAAAAAAATATGTAATATGTGAAAGTCTGGGCCATTTATTAACAATGACCCTAATAATGAAGATTCTTTTTCTTTCTTATTATTGTAGTAAATATAATGAATGTCATATAGGAAAGACAGAAAACATTACTCCCTTTATTCTCATATTGTGGTGGAACCAATGTCTAGCTGAGTGCTTTCTGGTTGTCATGAGCCTTATGTGACTGAGAGGGTGCTACTCTCATCTTATGAGCAGAGACCAAAAATACTGAGGATCCTGTAAGTGAAGGACAGTCTCACTCAACAGAGAATAGACCTGTCCTTATGCCAGAACAACCTCAATTGAGCTGCATTGCTTTACAAGTGATTGAATTATACCCAACACCAAATGCTTTCAAAAGGCACTAAGACCAAGGCACAAAAACTTTTATTTGTATTTAATTATCCTCAATACACTGGGCTGAATGCACTTTCCCCCAACAGCAAACAACAATCATTTAAACCAGTAGTCACCAAACTGGTTGACATGCAATGATTTCAAACTGTCTATACAATCAACACTAGCTGAAATTTTAATTCATTCCATAGTCTTTCTCTCTACAAACCAAGCTGAGGTCTTTTCCTGGGTCTTTAGATCTTCATGTAACCACTTTAGCTGTTCATGTCAAAAACTCTGAAAACCAGAAGCTTAATAGCAGTCAACATTTATCAAATAAGTACCAGGAACTGGGTCAAATACCATAAATACACAGTGTTCTTAAATTCTTACAACTGCCAATGGGATAAAAATGATTATGTTCCTATTTTACAGATGGGGAAACTGGAAGATTTAGAAATTAAGTCATAGATTCAAAGTAATATAGTTAGCAAGAGCTAAAATAATATCCTTTCAGTTTAGAAAACAAAATGGTTTCTGAAAAAAGAGGTATTTAAGTGACTCAAAATGGTTGGAGACTTCAGAGTTAACATGGTAGATTTTATCCAGGGAAACCCTCAGAAATGATATTTCCATTGGATAGAAAAACCAATCTGATGACATTTTTGGAGCTAATATACCAATCTTTGAAAACAGCATATTTATTTTTATTTATTTATTTATTTTAAATATCTTTTATTGATTTTTTACAGAGAGGAAGGGAGAGGAATAGAGAGCTAGAAACGTCAATGAGAGAGAAACATCGACCAGCTGCCTCTTGCACACCCCCTACCGGGGATATGCCCGCAACCGATGTACATGCCCTTGACCAGAATTGAACCTGGGACCTTTCAGTCCGCAGACCGACGCTCTACCACTGAGCCAAACCAGTTTCGGCGAAAACAGCATATTTAATATCCTACTTTAATTTCAAAAGAACATTTTTAAATTTTAAAAAATACTTTCTGAAGCCTGAGCTCGGTGGCTCATTATTTAAAGTATCATCCCATGCAACGGCTGTGGGTTCACTTCCCAGTCAGGGCACACCTATGTTGCAGGTTCAATCCCAGTTGGGTACATCTGAGAGGCAACTCTTTCACATCTATGTTTCTCTTTCTAAAATCTACAAACATATAATCGTGTGAGTATTAAAAAAATTTTTTTTTGAAAAAAGAATGAGCCCTTTCTAATATTATCCGAATTTAAAAAATTTAGTTTTTTAATAAAACAACTCCTTGCGCTAGCCAATTTTGCTCAAGGATAGAGCGTCCCGGCCTGTGGACTGAAGGGTCCTAGGTTCTATTCCAGTAAAGGGCACATGCCTGGGTTATAGGCTTGATCCCCATTAAGGAACATGCAGGAGGCAGCCAATCAATGATTCTCATCATTAATGTTTATATATCTCTCTCTCCTCTCCCTTTCTCTCTGAAATAGATAAAAAAACATATATATATTTTAAATATTCCTTCAACTCTGACCAGTGTGACTCAGTTGGTAGGGCATTGTCCCATGTACTCAAAGGTTTCCCATTAGATTCCCATTAGGGAATGTGATAGGAGGCAGCTGATGGATGTTTCCCTCTCACATGGATGTTTCTCTCTCCCTCTCCCTCTGTTTCCCTCTCCTTTACCCTTCAATCTATCAAAAATCAATTAAAATATTAAAAATAAATAAATAATAAAAAATACTCCTTCAAAAACTATTCTATATATTGACAAGCTATTTGTAAAATTTCAAATATAAAATTGTAACTACTACTGAATTTTCTGAAAGATAGTTAACACGAAGAGGAAGACAGTAGTAGTCCCAAAAATTACTTATCAGCTCTATGAATGTACTTGAGATAAAAGTGTTTTCCTTTTCATCAAAGTAATCTGAAATACTTTCCAATTCACCCATATCAATATCATAAGTCAATTTAAAATGTTGATTTTTATTATTCAAATTTCTACAAAGCATAAAAAACAGAGGAAACCAAGAATTCTGCATTCTTTCTTCTGAAAATCAAGGGCTACCTGAGAAAAAACGCAAGTGTCTAACAACTAAAAATCTAAGCAGGTCAGAGCTATCATCATCAAGGAATACTGTGAACTCTTTAGCATGGCCCAACTATGGAGAAAGTCTGCATAGAGAATATATTTTAAGACTTTTTTGCTTAGTAAGTATTTAGTATGTTTAGAATAATTCTAACTAGCAAAAGGATTACAACTGCAAAAGTAAAGTAGCAGTTTGGAAGGGAATAACCTGAAAATTATTCTCCACTCAGAATGAAGGCTTTCTAGATTTTGCCTGAAAACTGCATTATCATTGGGAGTAGGCAGTGGTTTACCTCAATACCTATGAATCGCATTCCTGAACGGTAAATAGCTTTAATATTTAAAAATTTAGCTTTAAGTATGCAGGAGTTTCTAATCGGAAAAATGTTCAAAGAAGTATTTGACAGTGCAACTTTTAGAAGCATGCCATATTATCTACCTAGCTTTTGGGCTAAAATGATCTTATAAAACAAATATAACACAGAACTTATTTTAGCTAAAGTCAATCTAAATCCAAGGAGGCATCAAAGAAAGATTGTAATATTCCACTTTCTGAAGTGAGATTTTCCTTAATGTTTTCTATTATAAATCCAAAGGGATTTATTTATTTCAACCAACATTTGGCATTCCATGTTCCAAGTCAATAGGAATAGAGACCTTAGTATGACTCCTGCATCAATAGTCGGCTGTAATTTAAGCACATTCCAAATGCTAGGCACGTCCCCACAACAACCCTGTGAGGGAGGTCTTTTTTATTCCACTCTGCAGGTGAAGGAGCTAAGACACACTGCATAATGACCAACGAGACCAAATTGCTAGTGCACGATGGGGTCAGTGTTTGAACCCAGTACTATCCCCAATTAAGGCCATAAAAGCCAAATTTATAAGAAGAAGCATTTTGGTTTTAGAATTGCGGGACACACAAGGACATGCTGAATACATAAATAAAACTGTGTTCTTCTTGTAAAGCAATACATGCTTTGATTTATTCTCCCAACCTTGTTGCAGAAAAAGTTCAAGGCAGTTAAACTTTTATAAATATATACTGACATTGAGGTATTAAGAAATGTAGAAAAAATTTTAATAACGACCCCTACTTTACTTTCTTAGACGCTGAACACTATGATTTTCAAACTCGAAGTTTTGTTTAAAAGTGGGTATCTAAATAATCCTTACATGTTTACTCTCACTCTTTAATGCTAAGGGTAGTGTATTAATATAATAAGAGACTAAAGATAAGAGGGAGGAAAATAGTCATATACAAACCTTGCTTCTGGTCGCTAGCTGCAGTGACAGGGGTGCTGGCAGCAAGATGAGCGCTCTCCACAGTCCCATAAACCACAGGGCTGTGCTCGGGGACCTGGCTGGGCAGCTGCTGGGATTTGAAGTAAAAAAAAGGGTGATAATGAGTGTGCGAACATAAAAACTGGCAATATGGAACCCAAGCCACGTGGGGAAGACAAAGTGGGACAGGAGATCACAAAATTAAAAAAAATTTTTTTTTAAAAGCAAGGAAAAAATACATAGCCAGTTTAATAAATTCAAAAGGATATGGAAGGATGGGGAAGGAAAGAGGCAGCAGGAAAGGGGGAAGGAAAAGAGATTATTACTATTAACCACAGCAAGAGGAGACAGCACAACAATCGTTAGTACAATGCATTCTGCAGTGTTCCTTCTAAGGAGAAAGAGACTTTCAACCTGACAATAGAGGTCACATCTGAGAGGGATTTTAACAGCCTCCCAGTCAAAGACCAAAGGGCTTTTGGTCAATTTCACTTATAAATTACCTAGCGACTTTGTAGTTCATCTGCAAAAAAGAGGACAAAGCAAGATGGGTTTTAAAACCAGTTACTGGTTCAAATAAAACAATACTGAGGGGTGATCCCTGTCACTTGTCCATGTTATCACATAGATAAAATGCAACCTGCAAAGTCTGTAAAGGCACTTTCACCTGAAAAATCTCGTTAGCTTCTGAGCCAAGGATGATCTTTCACAGTCAGAAATCTGACTAAAAATATCTTAGCGAGTATTTTTATTTTCACTCAGCCAGTATATTGAAATAAAAAGTGCCTATCAAAATCCTAGCACAATAGGTTGAAAAAATTGCAGCCATTGTTCAACTTAGAGGGAACAAGAATTAAACAAGAAAGGACACGGACAGTCATTCCACATCACATTCCAGACAGGTATTTATTCTGGATTTGAAGTTTGCAAAAGCCAGAAAACAAAGCAGTGTCTTTCCTCGGAGATCTAAGGTCAAGTTTTTGATAGACACAGCCTCCGACATTGAATTCCATCAGTGCTATCAGAGCAGAGCTCCCTGCATAATTCTGACTTGCTTTTTGTTCTGTTTTGGATTTTTTGGATAGGTGGAATTTAGATATAGGGGATTTGGGGTGGATAGGGACACTTAAAAGTGAGAGTTAATAAAAACATTTTCAAGTGAGTTAAGTCTCACATACAGTGGGAATATAAAATAAAGTATTTCTGTTTAGATTTATCATTTATTTTATATTACAGATAGTAATGGGGAAAATATTATTTCACCTATTCATGAGATTATGAAACTGCTTATATTCACAATTACTTATAAAATTATATTTCCACATATAAAAAATGAAGTTACTATTTCACTTTGAATCATGGCCAAATAAATGAATAGTAGAGCCATGATTAATTTTCTTTGAATCTTTAGTTCCAGTGGGGGAGGGGGACTATATTACTAAAATTCAAAAATTAGAAGGGCTTCATGAAAATACAAACTCAGTTCAATTCTTTGGCTGAAAATAGTTCCAGAACAACGGAAAGATTCTGTTACTTAGCATTTATTAAATAGTTATCCACATCCCAAGAAAGAAAGTACTGTAAAATATGTCATTTACCTGAAAGGAAGATAATATTAACTACTCCAATTGCCTAGGAAATTAATATCCCCCCGGGGGGAAAAAAAAAAGGGATAATTGCTAAAAGTAGGTCATCAAAATAACATGCATAAATAAAGTGAGATGTTTAAGACAATAAAAGGATCATGATACCTATACATATAGATTAGTGAGTTTTTCAATCTAAGATTAAAAATACCTTCAATTATATTAGAGGCAACTGCACAGACATTTTTAAATTAACAAAGTCTTGGGAAGATCTTATACATAAAGCATTTATAAGGAATGAATGAGATACACAGTTCCAAACTCAGTGCATAGAGATATAGCTGGAAAATGCTAGAAAAGTATTTCCATTTCCTTAACTGTAAAATGAAAAGGAACTAAAAATCATTTGAACTTTTGACATTTACTAAGTCTCTGATAGTACCAAAAAAAATAGCATATTAACATAATATATAATTCAATACTTTAATCTTGTTTTAGAGTCTTTTTATTTATGATAATCTCAAACTTTATCTTAACCTCTCATTTAATTTCTTCTCTCCTAATAACTATAGTCTGTTACAAAGAAGTTCCTCATCTTTCCAAAGCACAAATAATCATGGTTTATTTTAACTATCTTATAAATCAGAAAACACACTGGATATTGTGTTTTTTAATGTGATAAACATCACATTAAAAAAAAAATCACATCTAATGCTGTATGAATTTTGATCCAGGAAATGAAACTTTTGGGTATCTAGAGAACTTGGGTATATGATCTACACTGCTGAGAATATTTTAAGGAATTTCAAAATCACTACACTTCAGTCACTTTCATTATTGGTGGATATGAAAATTGATAAAAATGATTCTGGAAGGGAAGTTGGTAATAAAAATATAAAATAAGTCAATAAAGATGATCAGGAAGTCAGAGTTAAAAAGTCTGATTGGCAGAAAAAAAAACAACAAATTCCCATTTTGATAAATGAACTTAAAAGTATACCAAGATATTAGATATCTGATAATATCCAATAAATGAATTTCCTTTATGAATTCTACTTGAGAATCTATTCTGTTAAAGGTTTATATATTAAATTTAAAGTACTGGCCTTTAAGGGATAATGGTAGATTTGGGGCCAAATATTGTAGGAATTAACGTTTTAAACAGAATGTTTACCAACAGGTGAAACAGGAAACAAAATCTTGAATTGTCCTTAAGTATTTTTTGTATAATTTAAAATTCATTTCCTTTTAGATAGCCTATACAATTTCTATTGAGAGGCCAACTTCTTTACTATCTACTTTAATGTTGTACATAACAGGATGCGAAAATACAGAGGTAACTATAGATAGGGAGTCACCAAACCATGGTCCAGGGAACATGTAAATGCTTTTGAACTGCCCATGAAACAAGAACATTTTACATTTTTTTAAAAGTTGGTGAAAAAACAATCAAAGAACAGTATTAATTGACACATGAAAATTACAGGAAACTTAAATTATAGTGTCCATAAAGTTTTATTGAAACAGCCATTCATTTACATATTGTATACGGCCTCTTTCATGCTACAATGACAGCAATGAAAGAAACGATGGCTGCAAAGCTGAAAATACTTACTATCTGGTCTTTTACAGAGAATGTTTGCTAACTCCTATAATTTACTGAAAGAAAGCCCGAAACTCCAAATAGTATATAAATATTAGCAAGACTCTGATATAATTTATTGTTATCTTAAGAAGCAATTTGAATATTTCACATTTCATTATTTTAGGTATACAGCTGACCCTGGGTATCGCTGGGGATTGGTTCCCGGAGCTCCATGAAAACCAAAACCTGGGGATGCTCAAATGCCTTCTATACAATGATGAGGTGTTTGCATAGAACCAACATACATCCACCTGCATATTTTACAACCTCTCTAGATTACTTATAATAGTCCTGCAATGTAAATGCTATGCAAACAGTTGCCACACTGTATTGTTTACAGAATAATGACAAAAAGTGTACATGTTCAGTTTAGACACAATGATCATAGGCCTAAATACATAGCACATGTCAGCAACAATTGTAACTTTTTTCTCTAAATATTTTCAAACTAAAGTTGGTTGCCTCTGCCCATGCATACAATAAGCTGACTCTAATTGATTTTTCAAAGTTCCATTCAATGATTTTAAAATAATCCTTGAACAAATACCTCTTTGTTTAACATATAAATCCTGAGAACAACCAAGCACAGCGCCTACTGAGAAACAATATGAGGATTAAGAAGTAAAATAACAATAAATGACTCTAGAAAAAAGGACCAAAACATGCTTCTTTACTAAGTCGGGGAGAATTCTCCCAGTTCATTCATTAGAAAGATGTGCATGTGTTTCCCATGTACAAAGCATTAAAAACCCCATGGTTACTAAAACTAACAAAAATCCTTGATTTCATGGAGCTTATATTTTATTAAGAAAAACATATTAAAGGATAAACAGTATATAATATTGCTCAGCCATAAAAAGAACGAATTTTGTCATTTGTGACAACATGGATTACATTGACTACAGGGTATTACATTGACTAAAATAAGTCAAACAGCCAAGACAGGTTTGGCTCAATGGATAGAGCGTTGGCTTGGGGACTGAAAGGTCCCGGGTTCGATTCCGGTCAAGGGCATGTACCTTGGTTGTGGGCATATCCCCAGTGGGGGGTGTGCAAGAGGCGGCTGATCGATGACTCTCATCGATGTTTCTAGCTCTCTATCTCTCTCCCTTCCTCTCTGTACAAAATCAATAAAATACATTTAAAAATAAATACATAAATAAATAAAAAATAAAATAAGTCAAACAAAGATTGTATGGTCTCACTTATATGAGGAATCTTAAAAACAAACAAAACGAAGCTCATTGTCAAGAACAGATTGATGGTTGCCAAAGGCAGGTGGGTGAAATGGGTAAAAAGAGTTTAAAGGCACAAACATCCAGTTATAAAATAAGCAGGACATAGGGATGTAATATATAGTATGATTATCCTATATAACAAAAGGCTAATATGCAAATCGTCCAAATGGCAAAATGACCAGTCGCTATGACATGCTCTGACCACCAGGGGGGGCAGATGTTCAACGCAGGAGCTGTCCCCTGGTGGTCAGTGATCTCCCACAGGAGGAGTGCCAGGCAGCCAGAAGCCGGGCTCACAGCTGGTGAGTGCAGTGGTAGTGGCAGAAGCCTCTCCCGCCTCCGCAGCAGCGCTAAGGATGTCCAACTGACGGCTTAGGCCCGTTTGGGCCTAAACCGTCATTTGGACATCCCCCAAGAGCTCCTGGACTGCTAGAAGGCACAGGCTGGGCTGAGGGACACCCCAGCCCCCAGTGCATAAATTTTGTGCACCAGGCCTCTAGTATTTAATCATAGTGTTATAGTGTACATTTGAAAGTAGCTAAGAGAGTAGATATCAAAAGAAAAGAAAGTTTTAAAAGAGACTTTTTGTAACTGTGTATGGTTGATGGATATTAACTAGACT